CCCCGAAATAAGTCACGTTTTTAACCATCATGACAGCTCTCTAGGCCGTCATGTAAATGCCGCGTCACGCAAAAGCTTAGAAATTCAAGCGTAGTATATTACAAAACCAAGAACCCATTCGGAGCGAAAATTTGCATGAATGTTAGTTTTCAGCTGCTCTTATATATCATTTAAGTAAAATCTTAGGAAGATCAATAGGTCTTGTAGTTCGAATTTTGGTGACGTCGTCTGAAAACCAGCTATTGTTTGTCTTCATACATTTTTTTGGCTGATCAGATCTTTTGTAGATCCTACGTTGGCAGCGTTTATCGTATGCGGTCCCTTGCAGTTTCTGGTTTCTCAAAATTACTGTACGTGATCAAACTGCAAACATGCCATCGCGTTACGGGTCAGTTGAAATCTCATCCGCTTAAATGGTCGTCGGCGCTGACAAATTGCTAAGTTTTCCTCACGGTAGTTTTGTTCTTGGTTTCTTCAAGAAAATGTGTCAAATTTCAGAAGCTGTTATTTCGGAAAGCCTCAGCTGATAGAACGTACAACCCGATTGGTCTGAGGCAATTTTAAGGAGGTGTTTAGTAGACCTTTTTCTACTGGGCGGTTTGTTGCCCCATTTCAGACCATGTGATGATTCTCTTGAGAATTTCTCCTTTCAAATTTTCAAATAGTCGTGTGCATATGAATAACTAATTTTTAGATGGATGAAAGAACTATTCTCTAGAGAATATCATGTGGTCTGTAATGGGACAACAATCCAAGAAGAGTCCAAGAGTCCAATCCAAGCTGGATTGTATTGTATTGGACAATACAATCCAGGAAGTGACATCGTATCATTTCTCGGAAAATGCCGGAAAAGTACTTCTCTAATTGTGCAGCTGTATTGATGGAAAGATTAATCACACTGATATTCACGCTTGATATGAAATAAAAGAAACAACTGTGCAACGACTACTATCAAAATATTACGGTTAAAGGTTTTGCTTAATAAGAACCCAAAGTAATGTATGGTGGCCCGGCATTCACATAGGAAAAGTATGTTAATATATAATAAAGTTCACAGTTGCTTGTGATAATACATTGCTCGTGACTAGTCTTACGCAGCTCGTTTCGTCACGGCCAAGGGACTCATCACAGACCTTTCTGCTTGGCAAACTCGTTGGGCATTGCGGTCAAAGACAAAATTATGACTTCAATCTCGCCTTATACCGCATTAGGATTCCCGACCGCACAATTCAAGAGAGAAAATCGACAATAAAGTTGACAGTTACTTGTCTATAATCTTTGTCAAGAATAAAAATAACAAAAAAGTGAAAAAAAACAGAGAAATTAGAAAAAATAAATAAAAATTAAATAAAGTTAGAAGAAACATAAAACAAAACAATGAAAATGAAATCGAAACAAAATGATGACATAAGAAAACTAGACGCTTTGCTACGGGTACCAAGGCAGTCGTTATACTGAGAAGCACTAGCTACGTTGCAATTGAGCTAAATGGTCTGCATTTGAAGTCGTACGAAATTTTTACAAGAAAATAACGAGAGAATATCGTTTAGTTCGAAATTTTAGCTTTATTATACTTTACGACGTTTCTCAGAGCGTTTTACTTAGGTGTACTCCAACAGATTCATTCGTAAACAAATTCTCTAACCTTTCTGCTCTTGTTGCTCAGACGTCCTTGAGTTCATGCTGGGATTCTACTTGGTTCACGATCACGTCTAAAAATCCGATGACGCTTTTGGAGATGAAGAGTTGATAGCCCCGGTTGATAGCCCCTTTGGTATAACATGATTCTTGATAAATTCACTCAAAATGTTCGCTCGTAAACTGATCTCTCGTAAGGTTTGCAGACCGACCCGTTCCTAAAACGCTTAACGTGCTTTAGTGTTAGTCTACCGCGAACGGTGTGTTCGTTTTTATGAGATTTCATCGCCCTAGAAATCAAGGAATCCGGGCTAACTTTTCACGATGACAACTTCTGTAAATTCCATGTGCTGTACGCATGCACAGGTGGCACTTGCGCTTTAGAGACCAGAGGGCGATTTATGACTGAACGAGGACAAAAAAAAAAANAAAAAAGAGAGAGAGAGAGAGAGAGCCGAAATTTAAACCCAGGCCTCACTGCCTGGGTAAATATAATAACACAAACATGACACTGTAAATTAAATCAAAACGCTGATATTTCATTTTTGTTTTAAGTTTGTTATGAGAAAGATGGGCCATCAAACACCACATTTGATTTTCAATTTGTTTTGAGTTTACTAGTGTACTCGTATACTCGATCAAATCCAAAGGTCCCTAACCTATGGTACGGTTTAATTGTTTATCACACCGGGTTTTCGCATTCTAAGTACCCAAAGTAATACGCGATATGTCAGATCCCATGTGTGCACGAAAGGTTTGAGAGCAAATCAAGTGAATGATGCAAAACATTACCTTGGCATCGGTGGACTTGGGATGTGGGCAAATTTACGTCTTGTATGAAGCAAGTATACCGCAAAAACACATACCACGAGTAACGATAGCACAACCAAGGCACCTGCTACGTACAAAATCAGGTAAACCATTTTGCGTGTAACAAGAAAACGGGTCCAGTCGGCCACTCCCAGAAAACAAAAATTTCAGTTAGGAATCTGAGAGAATACGTGCTTACGTTACACTACCAGAGCGTTAAACCATGTGCCAATTATGTGAAAAGTCATGTGAGACACGTGAAATATTTTACCATGTGAAAAGTGCATTGAAAAGAAATACGCCAGCTGTGAGTTTTAGACGGTGTGAAAAACTTTTGGAAATCTTTTGTCAGTTTCACATGTTGCTTCACAGGTATGCACTACCGTGTGGCACTAAATTTTTTGCGGGTTCTAATTTTTGCGATTTTAACGGTTTTCATTTTCCCACGATTCGCAAAAAAAAGGTTCCCGCAAAAATTCTCTTGGCAAAACTTTACTCCACCATACAAACATCACAAGTAGAATCTTGTTGCTGCCATTTATTTAAAACGTCTCTTTCGTTCAGAAACAAAACGATGCAATGAGAAACAAAAGGTTCAGAAATAAAACAAACTCTAATTGTGACACTGATTACTGGATTACTGTGTTTTACATCTTCACGTGTTGCAAACGATGTTGTAATATTTTAATTAAACACGACTTCCCGAAAATCGCAAAAATTAGTTCACAGCAAGAAAACGCAGTCTTTGACAATCGCAAAAATTAGTTCCCGCAAAATACAAAAAAAGTCGCTGATTCGCAAAAACAAACTCCCGCAAAAATTTAGTGTCACTCGATATGTAAAACTTCACGTGAAAACCTTAACCTACCTCACACTGGGTTTCACAAGAGAAATTGTGTGTGAATTGAGAGTTAGGTCCAGAAAGGTAATCACACTTGAAAAATTAAGTGATAACGAAAGATTTCGTAAAACGTTTTAAAATAAGCAGTAGCGATATTCAAACAGGATGTTTCGGCCGCATCTCACCATTATCAAATGCAAATTATCATTAGATTCTTAACGTTACATGTATAGAAATTAGTAACGTTCTATATATAGAAATGGAAGTGTAAATCTACTATGTATAAAACGTTACCAATTTTATAATAATCTACATTTGATAATGGTAACATTTCGTTGCCGAAACGTCCTGTTTTATATTGCTACTGTTTATTTTAAAAATTGAAGTAATATAGATAACCTTATGCCTATACGGTATAATGCTTTAGTTTACTGAATGTTCACTTTAACGCTTTTAATTAATATACTGAGTCGTGATCTGTCTTGAAATACAATTCTACTTGACTAGATTGTTCTAATTAACATAATGTGCATGTCATCTGTTTTTTCTCTAGCATGCACAAAACTCCTGATCACCACAACGCAAACATTGCGGTCATCCGTCTTTTGCCTTAACTCAAACGGGTTATAATTTACGTTTACCAATCAACAGTAAGCGTTAACTTACATTTACACCTAATCGTAACTTTGTTGGTACACTTCAGGCAAGTTTGGTCGAGCCATGTCGGTTGTACATGAATCATATTTTGGCGAGACGTAAACTAGCCTGATACGCCGCCGAAGCGCACCAAAAAAAGGCACAATTAGTTATTTAAAATTCAGGAGATATTTTTTCTAGTCATGATAATCTGCACGTGGCACAAATTGCGTAGGCTGGCTTGTGTTTATACTTTTCTGGTCTACAACACTTGTCTGGTTCCTCATCAGTCATTGTTTTAATCCGTTTGCTTGGAGTTTCCTTTTCCGAATTTTAAAAGTCTAAACTTTTCAAGGAATCTGGAAACATCGTCACCATTTCAGAAACAAAGTGGCGCTAGTAAACCGGCGCCCGCCAGTTTAGTTTTGGAGGGAATATCTTGACACTTAACTGCATTTTATGGTCTTTTTCGCATAGGTGAACCGGCCACCAAGAGTGCACGATTTATACAGTACAGTAATTTCAGATGGTCAACCCCGTGATAAGTTAACTATTTCAGATTATAAACATAATTCTAGTCACAGGCCTTTTGATATTTCCTTGTGAGAGATGTTTCGTTCCCCTTTTGCCCAATGGCCGCCCTTCTACATTACTGCAGGCTTAGAGGAACTTGTCCTTAGCCGCTTTTTTGTCATGCTGATCATGGCCCGATTTCTGTTCATTAGGTCAATGTCTTTTTCCAGCGGTGCTTATCGTTCTAAGGTTTTGATCTCAGTAGGTACAAAAGCCGTAGTTTCCACAGCGGTGGCGCATGCCACGCAGCGGATAATCCGATAAAGATTATTCGCGATCGGACGCGCAAATCCGGGTTCATTCGACGCGTTTAAAGTTTATTTGAAGTCCGAAGTTCTTTACGCTAGCTGACTATTTTACTATTTGATTTGGCAAACATGTTGCGCTTTCAAGTCAGCATTTTTGTTACTTAGACCAGTATTATTTTTTATTTTTTTCTGTGCCGCTTGAGTGGGCTAACGCAACCTGCCCAGGGTTCCTTACAGTCCTTGAGAGATGGCCCTGTTATATCTTGATGTAAATAGTTTTTAATAGCATAATAATTTTGCTGATTGTAATCTAAACTAGAACTAGGTTACGATTCTCACACGTTGATTTGGAATAATGCAATGCATAAGTTTACATGACTTTTCCCTGATACCAAATTTATTAGATATTTGGAGTCAAGGGGAATACCTTTAAAAGGACTGTAAATGTTTCTTTAGTCTTCCGCCATTCATTCATATTTGTCTTAATTTGATGTAACAAATATTGACCGAAATGTAAATAGGCTTCATTGATGATTGATTTATCAGCGGAAATATCCGAATTAGTCGCCAGTGGCATGGAGTTTGTTTACGATAAACGAGCACGCGAGTGCAATTTAGTGCTTCCAGCTTAAAATGCTATATGAAAAAAAAAAATTATACTTTTACAAATTAGCTTTTACGCTTAAAAATTACCATCAAATGTCTAATTTGAAGGCAAAATCAAATATTTAGCTCTTAATGCCCGGCGTAGTCAATCGAACAAAACCGAACGAAAAATCAATCGAACTCAATCAAACTTCAATCGTTCGATTGATTTCCAATTGGTTGGGTATTCAAACATAATGGAACTGGACATTTATGGGTGAGTTCGATTACCGAACCAATCGAACAAAACCGGTACTAAAATTATCGGTAAGCACAGCGGTCTAACTAGAATCGAGTTTTAAACTTAGAGATTTCCCTGTTACATAAACTTTGTGAGCAAAGTGTAAAAAATATAAACGTATTCAAACTCTATGAGATGTGTGAAGATAATCCTGCGAAACATCGGCAACACAGCAACTTAAAGCAGCCTTTATATATTTATACGCCCTGGATAATATTACCGGGATATTCTGTTACAAGCTCACAGGCGATTTATTGCCGAGCTCTAAGCAAAAAGTTCGATCAATGTAGAGTTCAATTTAATTATGTTCGACTGCCGAACCCTATCCAAATAAATCGGACGATTGGAGTTCGATTGAGTTTTATTAAACAACTGTTCCATTTTCGGACGTTTAATTGTGTTCGATTGGTAAAAAGTTTTGGTGTGGTCGACTATGTTCCATTGTCGAACTCCATCGAAATCAATCGAACGATTGGAGCTCGATTGAGTTCGCTTACTGAACGTTCAACTGACTACGCCAGTTAGGTATACGGAAACTGTCGCCGGTAGGCACGAGTTTGCTATTTGGTTTTCCAGTGAGAAGGCAGGTAACTGTAGCTTGAAGGTCCTGTGAAGCTGGTGCTTATCTAATGAAATGATGAAACTTATAAACGGAGCCCGAAACGTGACGGCTTTGTTGGTGTGGTCTGACAAGGCTTGAGTGGTAAATAGGTGATTTTCACCGCACAAAAGTGGCTGAGGCAAGGTGGAGATCACGAGAGCAACATAGATTACTTCCTTGTCTGGGAACCAGGTGATTGGATTAACCATAGTTAATGGAGGGGAATGGTTATGAAACCCGACAAAGTTCTTTGTTGTATGTTTTTGTTCGCTTTTTTGGCCTTGACCGTGCATAAAACACAATAGTTGTTTACTCCGTACTGAGGRGCTAACCAATAGAAACGTGTTGGTTACGTAATTCATGCACGGTGTATGAGCGCGAAACAAAATAATGTGCACGGTCGTAGACCTTCCAACATAAATCTTGGCATCTTTGTTTGCTCCTTTGATGTTTGCCGGGCTTCATAACCAGTCCCCTCTATTAACTATGGATTAACCTCTTCGACAGCCACGGCCTTCAGAGATGCGCCAGCGTAAGCCATTTGTGCCATTTGAGCCTTTTAAAGGCTCGAAAGCATTGCATGTGCTAGAGACATTAGAAATTTGAGACGAAAAATCCTGCTACCTTTGGGATCGTTCAATTTGTTATGAGATAGGGGTAACTGGCGGGATTTATGGGAGCCATGCAAATATCAAATTATGGCCTCAAAGGGGAGGTACAGCTGCAAAGAGATGGCAGGTAAAAGGGGGGGTCACTCAAAAAAGTTACTAGTTAGAGTACTTAAGGCAAATCGTAAACACTCTTTTTCCTTGGCCATCGTAGCTTTAGAAGAAATGGCTTTAGAAGAAATGATCCGCAATGGCTGAGGTGTGACCGCTTTTACACGAAATGGGACTCCTTCACACCTCGCAAGTACAAGATAAACCTCATCCGCACCCTTACTTATCGTTGTCTTCGCATCTGTTCATCGTCTTCAT